ATATATATATATGTAAATGACGAACACACAAAGTGAATCACGTTGAGCCACTCCGTCTTTTCTAGTCCTCTCTGTGACTGTGTTTGTGTGTCTGATTCGACAGGGCTTTGCCGTTGCTTCAGTGAGTCCTTCGTTGCAGAGTCTTACCACAGGGACCTACAAACTTTTGACAAGTCCTGGCATTGGCCAGAACGGGCACTGACCTGCACAGAGTATGGATTCGCGCTGAAACCCGATGTTTGTTCTGCAGGTCAGGGGTTTTTTGCGTACCTTTTGTCAGTGGTCACAAGAAAAACACGTCAATCATTTGTTGTCAAAAGAGAAACTTTAATTGGAGTTGCGTCTACCGGAAAGGACAAACAGCTTTCTGACTTCGACAGGCTCTCAGGCAAAACCCACAGTTGTTACATACGGTTGACGTATAGTCAATTTCTACCAGGAGCCTCCCTCCTCTCCTCTGATCGTGAAGGACGATAACGGACCCACGCGCAAAAGGATTCGAGATGTTGGATTTATAAATCTTTATATAATAGTAACATATATGTTCTCGAACATAGTAACCCCTCACAGCTGTTGAATTCACTTCCGAATATCATTGAATACCACCGTGAGACGAGGTCAGAGCTTGAGTACGTGCAGAAAGAACCCAGCACCAATTTCACACAGTGTCTACAAATAGCATCAAATAACATAATATGGGTTTCATTGCATCTATATGTAACAAGCGTGTGCGGCACCAGTCCTGAAAAATATGATTTCTCATTTCCAGCAATGTCCTTAGGTCACACAGTCACACAGAATGACCAGTCTTTATCTGTCAATTGTTAGGCCATTTGTTGAATGACAGTAAAGGATTACGATGATTACATGAAAAACCGAAGCGACTAAGGACCTTGCTGCTTCCATTCTGCAAATGCCTCTTTCCTGTCACGCCACCTTACAGTCAGAGAAGGCCACTAGCTTCAAAGCTTGTACCCTCCGGTGCTTTCAGGCCTTTCCAGGATCTGCATCGTAGACTCTGCCTGCAAACCAGTTTGGAAAAACACGGAAAGCGGAGCAGCAGCCCCACATCCCCAACAGAGCCCACAACATGTCTTGTGAACAATGGGTGAAAATTGCCAATATGATAAAGGAGATGCCTCAGGATAGCCGCAGACTGACAGCAAAAGACCACCATGGCCTAAAAAACTAACCTACTTATACTTGTCGGACCTAAGTCTGTCATGGATTTTACCGCAAAAAAGTAAAATAACAGCAGCAAAGCCTGCAACATAGATCCCACGGCCCCAATCACCTCCAACATACCCCCACGAGAAGCCTCAAGAGAGCCCCAACATTCGGCGAAGCGTGCCAACATGGAGAAGGATATACCCTAAGAATGCACCAAGATCGCCGAAGATTGGCACAACCATGCCCAAATTTGACCGCCCATTAGAGCAAGCTTTCGTAAGTAACAAAAATGCAAAAAAAACAACTGTCAAAACCACCTGTCTTACACTTGTCGGACCTAATTTTTTCATGGTTTTTTATGGTGTTTTACGCACACTACTCAAAAAACCACATGCCCAAGTCAAACGGCAAAGAAAAAGCAGCCAAGTGGACCAACATGACCGCAAAGCAAAGCCTTCAACATAGCATGGCCGCGGCCTCAAGAGAGCCCCGTAATTTGGGTGACACCAAGATCGCCGAAGATTTGCACAAACATGCTCTATATTTGACCGCCCACTGGAGCAAGCTTTCATAGGCAACACCAAGCTCTCAAAAACACCTTCCTTACACTTGTCCAAATGTTCGCGATACTGCTTATGCCGCCTGGGGAAAACTGCATTATTGACATCGTGGGTGTGTTCGTCCGGAGCAAGCTTTCATACGCAAACAAGAGACAAAAAGAAACTCTCAAAAACACCTTCCTTACACTTGTCGGACCTCAATTTAAATGGTTTTTACAAGTGTTTTATGCACATTGCCCTTCAAAGCCTTTGAATGCCGGAGAACAAGAAAAAACACAAAAATGGCCGCCCGTGCAGGTAAAATGCAACTTTTTGAAGGCAAATAAGCTCAACACAAACCCCCCCAAAGCCACTTCTACTGTAAATTACAGTGTTTTATGCACCTTCGAGCATACGAAAAAATGCCACCACAGTCTGCAAACCGGTCCGGCAAGCAACGGAAAGCGAGAAGCGAGCGGGCGCGGTCGCGAGGACGCGCAGGTTTGCTTCGTATTTTTGGGTTTCCTGGTTGGTTTTCCTATGTGCTTTCCATGCCTTTTAAGTTGGCTTGCTTTGTTTTCGCCTCTTCTCAAGTGGGTTAGCCTTGATCCAGTGCGTTGTCTGCCCAAAAGCGTAGTTTCATACTTTTGGGGTTGCCGTGTCAATTTTCCCAGGTGCTTTCCATTCTTTTCAAAAGGGTTTGCCTTGGTTGTGTCCATTCTGTGCTCTTTGTGTCTTCTTGTGGGCCTTGGTGTCAAAAAAAATCATCTTAAGCTGATTTGCTTTGTTTCCGTCTCTTCTGTGCTCTTTGTGCCTTAGGTGCTTTCCATCTTTTTTAAATGGGTTACCCTTGGTTCTGTGTCTTTGTGAGCCTTGTTGCGACAAAAACTGGCTCTAGGCCCCAATGTTGGCTTCGTATTTTTGGCTTTCCTGGTTGGTTTTCATATGTGCATTCCATGTCTTTTAAGTTGGCTTGCCTTGTTTTCGCCTCTTCTCAAGTAGGTTAGCCTTGATCCAGTGCGTTGTCTGCCCCAAAAGCGTAGTTTCATACTTTTGGGGTCGCCGTGTCAATTTTCCCAGGTGCTTTCCATTCTTTTCAAAAGGGTTTGCGTTGGTTGTGTCCATTCTGTGCTCTTTTTTTCTTCTTTGTGGGCCTTGGTGTCAAAAAATTCTCATCATAAGCTGATCTGCTTTGTTTCCGTCTCTTCTGTGCTCTTTGTGCCTTAGGTGCTTTCCATCTTTTTTCAACGGGTTACCCTTGGCTCTTTCTCTTTGTGAGCCTTGTCGCTAAAAAACTGGCTCTAGGCCCCAATGTGATTTTCGTGCTGTTGGCTTCGTATTTTTGGCTTTCCTGGTTGGTTTTCCTATGTGCTTTCCATGCCTTTTAAGTTGGCTTGCCTTGTTTTCGCCTCTTCTCAAGTGGGTTAGCCTTGATCCAGTGCGTTGTCTGCCCAAAAGCGTAGTTTCATACTTTTGGGGTTGCCGTGTCAATTTTCCCAGGTGCTTTCCATTCTTTTCAAAAGGGTTTGTGTTGGTTGTGTCCATTCTGTGCTCTTTGTGTCTTCTTTGTGGGCCTTGGTGTCAAAAAATTCTCATCATAAGCTGATCTGCTTTGTTTCCGTCTCTTCTGTGCTCTTTGTGCCTTAGGTGCTTTCCATCTTTTTTCAATGGGTTACCCTTGGCTCTTTCTCTTTGTGAGCCTTGTCGCTAAAAAACTGGCTCTAGGCCCCAATGTGATTTTCGTGTTGTTAGCTTCGTATTTTTGGGTTTCCTGGTTGGTTTTCCTATGTGCTTTCCA